CGTGTGTGTGTTTGTGTGAAATAATAAACACAAACTGTACTCACTGTTCACTATTTCCAAAAACTGAGAGGTTCGTATGGTAGACACTTAAGTGTTGCAAGGGTCTTGTCTTGAGCAAGGGAAACTACTCCATAGTTCCGGAAAGACAACTGCCTGTCGAGAGAAAAAAAGAGTATATTAGGACAAAAAAGCACACCAAGACCGACGTATTACATAAATAGAACAAAAAATCATAGCTAGTCCGTCAATTCTGACGATGAATAATACATCCACAGAAGAGACTATTTCTCCAGGGAAATAGAAGAGTTGGAAGAACTAAATTATATTAAAGTAACATGACGTGGCTTCTGCTGTTGCCAATGAGATCAATTCTGACCGAGAAATGTTCGCCCCATTTTGCACATTCTAAAGCTCCACGTCCGCCTGTGGATGTGCGCCGCTTTCGGGCTTCTCTCTTATGGGCATATCCACACCATAATAGCATGGTAGCATGGTAGCAAACACAATTCCCCGACTTCTTTTCTGTTTATACTCTCTTGTAACACCTTTAACATTTGGTACGTACATGACTTTATTGTGTTGCAAGTGCAATAAAAGTCTGACAAAAAAAGACCCCCCCCCCTCAAAAAAAAGGAAGAATATTAACATTACACCTTTTAGCGTAGTCAGATGACCCTAACGGTCGTCCTCAAAGAGTTAAAATAAGAGGGAGAGCAAGGTTAGGTCAACGTTGGCCAGAAATCCAAAACGTTAACCAGTTAATATTCGGACGGTAGACATCCTTGTTTAGAAATGCACACCCACCTGCACAGCCCGAGTAAGGTCCGTATAACTGAAACATTGAGAGCTAGTTTACCCATACGTAAATAACAATGCGTCCCATTATTTAACACATAGCTGGTATGTCTATGCATAAATTACAGTTTGCCTCTATAGCTAAAACACAGCCGGTGCGACCACACAAATGAGTATTTTGTCCCAATAATGAAAACACTGATAGCTGGTTTATTTATACATAAATTACTGTTCCTCACAGCTACTCGCAGAGAGGGATAAAACTCGCTCATTTACATTTTCGCTTGTGTACAACCTAATGATTTTGCCATGTTTTTGTCTACCTCCATTTTCTTTTACTGTCCCGGATGATTCAGATGTTCCAAACAACACAACAACCGTTTAATGGTAAAGTAATGTATCCATTACACGGGTGTGGCAACTTTTCGTCGTGTTTTATATTGTTGTTTACAGCTTTTGGTCTTTTTTTTTTCTCTCTAGCTTTCGGATAATATAAAAAAGGACATTATTGAAGCAGATGGATGAAATATGTTGACAGATATATCGATAGAAAAATAGATAAATACAGATAGATGGAGGCTGATAGAAAGAGGGATATTTCAGGGAAATAGATAGATACTAGATATTGATATAGACCGATAATAGATTGATAACAGAGGCAAACAGATAAAAAAGAGCAAGTTGCAAAAAAATTGAAGAGAGAAGATATATATATATATATATAT